GAAAACAATGACAGCATGTGCATATTCAGTTATGAACCTTCTTTCAAAACATTTATCAACAGATAAGAAAACAAAAAAAGAAATTTGCTGATTTCCAAGACATTAGACATCTAAATATGTTATGTAATAATTTCAAACAGATAATCTACAAATTCTGACTACTGTAAAATACTTTATTTTCGCTTGGAATTAATTTTCACTGAAAATAAAATCAAGTGAATATACCTTTTTTTCTATATTCAACTCGTCGGAAATGAGTGAAAATAAATTCCATAAAAAACACCTAAAAAGTCTTAATTCCAGCTAAAGAAAATATTTTACTGTAGTTTTTTTTTTTCCAGAATGGGGCACAGTTGCTCTATAGATCAGTCTTGTTTGCACAAGTACTGCAAAGTGTATAAAGGTTGTTTCATAGACAGCAATGGTGACATTAATAGTAAAATCCTTACATTCATGTTTGGATATCTTGGACATTTCCTTCACTGTCAACATTGAATACAATAATATGCATGAGTAGTGTAGGAAACACGTTTTGAGATGGGCCTATAACAGAACTGTATGACGCCAACTAGCTAGTACAATGGGAGAATAGATATTTCATTGGGAGCTAGCAGTTAAATAATTTTCATACAATTTTTAAATATTTATTAATCACCTGGCATTAAAAAACTTATGTCATGCACCAAAAAATATTTCAGTTATTAAATTTGTAATGCCCCTTAATTTACCACCAATCATACAAACTGCTGTCATTAGCCAATCAGATTGCAACACACACACAAATTTAGTTTGAACTAAATTTTCTGACATTTCAGAAACTTCTAGTCAAACTGCAGAATTGTATCTATACAGATATGGCTACATTGCTCAATACAACACTCAAATAGCACCCTTAGATAGGCAACAACAAACTATAAACTGTACTTACTGTCAATTTTCACTGCTAGAAATATTTCTGATTTTTTCTTTTATAGAGAGGCATTCATAACGAGATTTTCTGATTTTTCAAGAATTTTGCAAAAACTTGCGGGAAAACAAAATGGTGAATAATTCTTACAAGTAGTGTAGAATCTCCAAAACAATCAAAAATGACCACAACATACTAACACCAGAGACTGTCATCTCGTAGGTTCTTGCAGTTTATGTCTGTTTCTTATTTTTGAGGCTGGTATCTGAGACTATCGTGAAATCGTATTTTAATTTCTATTAAGTTTAAGTTTTCTCTGTGATTACTTTATCTAAGTCATATAGTACATCCAATATACATCCCATTGACCAAGCCTGGGTTGGACAACTATCTGTACATTTAACCCCATCTTTATTAGTCAATTCAGGCAAACCACGCCATGGTGACTTCTCCATTTCCACCTGGTGAGCAGAAAGAGTCTGCTGGATAAACTGTACCGTCTTGTCCAATAGATCTGGCTTATCTTTAGCGAAGTGAAGTTTAGCACGAAGGAAGTAACCCATCAACCAAAGCCACTCCTGTAACAATAGGATAAATTTAGTAAATCATACTACATATGGTTTCTAACATAAAGTATAATTTCTAATACTGGAACCCTAACAGTGGTAAGGTAAGTGCTTTGTGTTTGCTTGGTTAATAAATGTAATGTTTTAATTATACATGTAAGAATGTTCTTGCAGCTCTTTACTTACTGGTCCTTGGTGGTAATTGAATCCTTTAGCCTTTTTACCATCATGGCCATCATATGCATTGTCATAATTACCATCATAGGCCCAATCACTGCAAATATAAAAAAGTCATTGTCAGTCCCCGTCCAGTTTTTAGTGACTGTCAACAATTAGTACTAAATATTTATTTACACTCGTGTGTCAGACATGATACAAGGTGGAGCTAGCTTATTCTTGCAATTTCTTCTGTTATTCTGCCATTTATAACACATTTTCAGCATAAAAATGATGATCAGCCATTCTGAATCAGATTCTAAAACAGATGCATGTGCAAATGTTTTGCATGATCTATGTATAAATTTTCAACATGATCAGTCTAGTCATGTTAGCAATATGGCTTCAAAAACAGCATTGTTAAAAACAAAATGGCCAACAGTCAGCCATTTTCAATCCAATGTGAAGAATCAAAGAAAGCTTAGAAAAAACTCCTGTGTGTATTGTATTGCAGACATATTAAAACTAATTCATAATTGAAGATTAGCCTTTCAAATAAGTAGCTTGGAAACTAATATTTGTCTGCTATTTGAGATGTATAATGTGAAAACATTAGTATGCTTGAATTTCAATTCAAAACTAATCAGGTCAAGTTTCAATATGTGACGATTTATTCTCAAAAGAATCAGAAAGCCAAAAACCAAATTATAATGCAAATTAAGTAATTATTATGGATGTATATAAACCCAAAACTTATTAGATCGTCGCATTGTCTTATTTATGTACCAAGATTCATTGATATAAGATAAGTACTTGAGATATCAATGGAAAAACTAAAAATTAATAATTATTATGCTAATTAGGTAATTAATATTAACAGATTTTAACCCAAAACTTGGCACATCTGTGCATTGTCTTACAGTATCTATGTACCAAGTTGCATTGAAATGAGATGATAAGTACTTGAGATATCAGCGAAAAAAAAATGAAAATTAGTTGATTAATATGCACAGATATTAACCTATTAATCAGGTCTGTGGGTATCATAACTTACTCTGGGTCCAGTGTCTTCATTCCCAAAGGTCCAAGTAAATATTTCTCCATGACTTCTAAGCTGGTCAAAGCATTTTCAGGTGTGAACAGCTCAGGTGCCTGCATAATTAATTAATTAAATAAAA